TGGTAAATTCAAAATCTTTAGGGAATTATTGTTTATTATCTGGTCGAACTCCTTTCATCTAGCATTTCATTCAGAGATTTTATGACTTTCTTAAGCCAAAACTGACCTCATGAAACATTGACATGTTTAAACTAGTTTGTTAATGAGCAAGAACCAAAACACAATATATCCTCCTAAAATAAAGGGGGGGGGATTCTATTGACAAAGTTAAGCAGTAAACATTAGATTATAGGTACAACAGATGTCCTTAAGCCAGCTAAAGGTTCTATCACTTTTGACATCAAACAAAATGTATTATAATTTAGTAGTTGAATTCATGAGAAGAGCTGGAAGGATCAGACAGCTGTTTCGTCCTAGTATGGGACTCCTTAACAATGCTCGTCCACTATCCCGCTTGTGGGATTCGAGCTAAGGACCTATCGGTCTCGCGAGTGAACGCTTAATTTCTAGACCACTGAGCTAGTTGGTATCTACCAGTGTTAATGTATAACATCAATTAATCCATGAAGATTTATTGTGATGTTAAAAATTACATTTCACAATTGATCCATAGAATTCAATTAAATCTAATAGGGTTAGGATAAATATTCCATTAATTATTTATATCTAGTAATTGAGTGATGAGTATTACTTACTTGCTTACGCCTGTTACCCCTCGTGGAGAAGCATAGGCCGCCCACCAGCATTCTCCAACGAACTCTGTCCTGGGCAATTTTTTTCCAGTTCTTTACAGTTATTATTCATCCTTTTCATGTCCACTTATTCCTTCAACTCTCAGGGGAGAGTTTAAATGGTTTGAATTATTTTTTCTGGTTATCGATTTTTTAATGAGTTAGTTTTTCTACTGAATGGGGTCGCTAACTCCATACCCAACCCTCCTCCTTTACTCGGGCTTAGGACCGGCAGTAACTCCTTAAGAGCTACAGGCGGTGTTGATTGATGAGTATTAGTGTATTCAATGTTTCAACATTGTTTTACTCTACGAAATATTCATTTCTTTTTTCATTACATCGCCTTCATGATTGACTTCATACTGATAATAATAATAGTAGTCTGATTAATTAATTAAATCACATTAGGGAATGTCAATTCAGTAAAAACAAAAAAAACGAATATCTATGAACTTCCTGTATTCAAATTTGATCCTTTTGTCATATTGAATGATTTCAAACAAACAAACAAACAGAAGATAATATCAAACTCTTCCGTATCTTCTTTTCTTTTTCAATTTTTCTTTTGTTTAAATAAATAAACCTGAATTTGTCGGGATATTTAAAATTTAAATTATGATTATAATTTTCTTCAAAAAAATATAAAAATAAATTTAAACACAAAAAACTAATCAGCTGTGTATGTGTGTGCATATGTGTGTGTGCGTGCATGTATGTGTGCGTGTGTATCACCATATATGCATTGTAACTAAGGTAAAAATAATTACTCAAATCAATAATATTTTAATCATTTCCAAATATTTTTTTTTCTTTTTTTATTCAAATGAAAATTAATTAAAGAAGACATTGTAATTATTTTTTTGTTTTAGTTTTTTTCTTGGTTTGGAGAAAATTTTTTTTTCTTTTTCTATGAATTAAACTAAATTATTAACAAGAAAAAAATAAAAAAATAAAACACCCCCCTCCCCCCTGAATTTTTTTCAGTTTTAACAGTTCATTGATTTCATTTAAATTTGATAAAATTATATACTTTTTATGTATTTTGTTTTAATTGAATATGATGTAGTTTGTATTACCGTTGTTGTTGTTATTAGGACAGTGTTTATTGGGGTGGAAATTTAATTATTCAATCATTTGAATTTTTCTTGGGGAAAAAAGTTTTTTAAAATTTTAATATCTTCAATGCCATGGTAACAAACACATTTGAAATGAAAAAAAAATTAAAAAAAGGAAAAAGGAGACAATGATTAATTTGAAAAAAGAAAGAGTTACATACAATTTCAATGAACTCAATTTGACCTTAAAAGATTGAAATATAAAATAAGTCAAGAAGTTTGATTGACCGTTCATCAATTGTCTTCAGTGTGTTGATGTCTCACAACAGACGTGGTTTGAACTACACTGGTTACTGCTTCTTACTAGAACTCCAGGAAATATCTCTTGAAGTCAGTCACTAGTGAGCATATGATTATTATTATCAGAAGGGGGTTTTGTGGAGATTTCAGTATTTTCATAGCTTCAATTAACTCATGATTTCAACTATGGAAATACTGAAATCTCTACAAAACTCCTTCTGATAAAATAAGTCAATTGATTAAATGATTACAGATCGGTAATTGATTAAATGGAAGCGAATCGATGTTAACTTGGTGTTTTGAAGAAGGTTAAAGGCTTGTTGTAAGACCTGTAAATCTTGAATTCAATAATTGATTGAACAGTGATTGTTGAATGTTTAGAGGACTTATACTAAAAGGAATGAATTGTATATTGTTCTCTATTTTTCAATGACTATTGAAATAAGAATAAAATGGGTTTTGTGGAGATTTTAGTATTTTCATAGTTGAAATCATGAGTCACTTGAAGCTAGACCTGAGGGGGTGCGGGATCGTGGCTGCGCACTGCTGAGGAGTCCCATAATAGGACGAAACGGCCGTCCAGTGCTTCCAGGTTTTCCATGATGGTCTAGCTTCGATTGACTCATGATTTAAACAATGAACTAAGATTAGTCTGTGATGTATAACGGAAAAATAATTAATGTTTTTTTTTTGGGGGGGGGCTGAGGTTGTCTACTGATAAGTACAGACATTTACTTAGTTATAATTTTCAAGAGAATTCCATTATGGATGAATATTAGCTAGACAACGTTTGGAGGCAATACAAAAATATTGGTTAACTGGTTCATCTTGTTTTAGGATTTCTCAGCAATCTATACTCGCAATCATGTGATATATTGTATCCGTAAGCTTCAAGTATCTTAGTAACCACGGTATACTTAAATTACTGAGTTACCAACGGTACAATACACATTTTTCAACATCATTAATTTGATAAAATGATTCATTCATCTCCGTATACGTAAAATTTCAGTTCTGATTATCTTTAAAACAGAAATATTTTTAAGTTACCTTGGCCTTGGCTAACAGTGGAATCCAGAATGTGAGTTTCGTCCTAGGCGGGATTCGTCAACTGGATGTACCTACATCCTAGAGTTCATGTTCACTTCGAGACTCAGACCCAGTACCGTTCGCGTCAAATACCATCGTGTTATCTACTTAACGTCCGATTCTAGATAGCTAATACAAAAATGAATTAAACTTTATCCTGTAGCATGAGCTACTGGCTATCTAGACTCATTAGCTAATTGGATAACGCGATGATGTTTTAAGTAAACGGTATCGAATTCCAATCCTGGACTGAACATAAACTCTAGCATGCAAGTACATCCACCTGACAAGTCCCAAATGGGATGAAGTGCGCGTCATGGATTCCACTGCTAGCCACCATCATTTCTGCTTATAATAATTTTAACATAAGGCGATTCTCACAAGATGTAGTCTTAAACATCAATGGAAAGATTCAAACAACCAATAAGAAAGTGGGGTATTAATTAGGTGTTATAGTTTGTAATAACTCGATCACTTGTCCAATAGTAAATAAAAACTAAATCATAAAAAATATGTGTCCACTTAATCTGTTGTTAGGTAATCCCTTCTCATATGACTGTTGCTAACACTGAAATATGTTCAAATATACCCATATTCCTAATTCGACACTTTATCTAGTCATGCCTAATTCACCTTCAAGTATTATCAAAGAACGTTTATTCATGCATCTAATCCATATTATACTCTAAATTAATCAGCTTATTACTAAGACTAAATGTTACTTCATTATGAGTACATCAAAACGAGTCGACATAATTGTTTCATGCTTCATGGTGAAAAGTAACTTAGCTTCATACTAACTTAGTTACACACTAAGCATAAATCTTTACAAACTTTCTTACTATATATTAAAAGTATGATTTATTAACAAACCAATCAGATTTAAGATATCAGAAGGGGGTTTCGTGGAGATTTTTGTAATTTTATAGATGAGATCATAAGTCAATGGAAGCTAGACCACCATGGAAAACCTGAAAGGTTAGACATTAAGATCGTTGGATGATGGCTCAGTGGTCTATCGGTTAAGTGATCTGGCACGAGACTGGGTTCGAATCTCGCGAGTGCATGCATATGCACTGTTGAGGAGTCCCACAATAGAAAGAAACGGCAGTACAGTACTTCCAGGTTTTCCATGATGGTCTAGTTTCAATTGACTCATGATCTGAACTATATAAAATTACTGAAATCTCCACAAAACTCCCTTCTGATAACATTTAGTTATCAGGACACATCAAATAAAAAAAAAAAGATCAGTTTGAAGAATAGGGATGTAATTTTAGAGATTCTCTAAATGATGTTAAGACAGTGATAAATTTTCTAGAAAGGAATTAATAGAAACCAAATGGAATGGAAATGGACATATAACTAACACTGACTTGCCCCTTCCAGCCATATGGAATGGTGAAGCCTAGTAGGCCCTTCTGGAGAAGAGTGCTAAATCGAACCACGGCATAATTACCGTGGCAGGATAGCTGTTTCTGCACTGCTTACGCAGAACCATTACATAACTCTCACAACCCATTTTTTTGTCTTTTTGTTTTTGTTTGGGTAGACTCATTTTTATTTTATCACTCTTTTGAACCCTCAGTAATTATGCAATGACTCTATGTAGCATTCGTATTCGTTCTCAGGTATTTGTAGATTGGTTGATTAGGCCAATCTCCACCATCCAGGTTACCACTCATGTTAGTTCATGGAAACAGTCCCATGATTCAGGAGGCATGACGAGGATGTATGAGTCGGACTTTGCCGCCCAACATTTAATTAAAAATTCTTCACACTTTAAATATGATAATCAACTTTATAAGTATTCATCTATACTGCTATGAAAGCATTTCTTTCCATAATATTCCCCTTTCTCTTTGTTTATTCTCTTTCAATTCAGCGTTTATTCACAGTTATATTAGAAGCGTATGATTTAGTCAATCGTAATGAGAAATATTTAATTGATCGAGCTATACATCGTGGTCTATTACGTCCATTAATTTCTTCGACGAAATCATTAAATCTCTCCACAGATTGGCATCAAGTTACTATATCCACACAATATTCTGGTTATACATTTTGTATTCAATTAACATGTGAATTAAATCATTATGGTAATGATTGTACTAAAGTATGTCAAGTCAATGAGAATCATACCAAATTTAAATGTGATGCAAATGGTGATAAAATATGTGAACCTGGTTGGAGTGGAATTGAATGTGATAAAGGTAATTGAATGCATTATCTGTCTATCTGTCTATTTCTATCATTCTATCACGTCTTAATTTGTAGGTAGCATCCGTCATATGAGGTATCATAGAAAACCAAGATGAACTAGACAAGTGTTTCATGTTCGTTGAGGACACCCTAGTAATCACAATTGATCACTGGGTGGTGATCAATGCCATGCGTGTCAAGTCCTTCTTAGTGCTGATCGAATGCTATCGATCAAGTTACAATGTGGCCAACAGTCTAGGTGGCTCGACACTGCGTGCACTATATATATTGAGATAAGTTGGCGGTTGGAGGTGATCTCAGTCCTACAGGAGGTCGGTCGTGGCCCGGATAGCTCAGTGGTAACGTCTCGGACTGTGAAGCTGAGTGACACGGGATCGAATCCGCCAGGGAGCATCGGTTCCCTCAGGATTACAGGTACACCTTGCTGACGAGTGCCAAGTAGCACGAAACCCGGGTCCAGGGTTTCCTGTTGACCACCTCCAACTACCAAATTACACCCTAGTAATACATATTCACTAGAAATCATAACTGGCAGAATTCTGACACATTGGAGATGAGATAATTGAGATAAACAGGACTGGATAATTATCACATAATATTCAAAATTGATTGAAATTGAAATTGTACTATTTCGCACCAACCCACTTGTTCAAATGACTAAGCGTTCAGCTTATTATCATTATTACTGTAGGTGGTTTATAGAGACTGTTGGCTTTGATAGGGAATAAAGTTCCTGGGTTCGATGTCTGGTTGAGTTTCGAGTGTGCACTTCTATAGAATCCCATACTAAGATCAACCAGTTGCCATATTCTCCTTATGATCAATACCACCAGTTATTTTTCATGCCTATTATTGTGATGTAAACATTGTTTGGAGAGTAAAGAAGTTCATTATACCTTATCTGTTACGGAGCTGTCCATTTATATTTCCTTTTGTTGTTTTGTTAACAGTTTGTAATTATTAGGAATAATTAAGTCAACAATAGTCTAAATTTCGAATTATCAGACTAATATTAACTAATTTATTATTTAGTTTAACAGAAGGGGTTTGGTGGAGATTTCAGTAATTCTATAGAGTTCAGATCATGAGTCAACTGAAACTAGACCACCATCGAAAACCTGGAAGCACTGGACGGCCGTTTCTTTCTATTGTGGGACTCCTCAGCAGTGCATATGCATGATCCCGCACTCGCGAGATTCGAACCCAGGACCCATCAGTCTCGCGCTAGAGCACTTAACCGATAGACCACTGAGCCGGTATCCAACGGCGTTAATGTCTAACTTCTGATCCAATTTTCATTATTGTTCATAATGCTGATATACTTAGTGGCAATGTTGTGTGTGTTACTTATATCGAAATAAGTAGTATATATCATAAATCAGGAGTAGAATATCTCGCAGCAGAACATGGAAAAGGTCGAGAAGGGAAGAACAGAACCAGAAAATAATTGCTATGGAGATGAAGGAACAGTAAAGTTTGAGATAACTGATTGACATTTACAAAGGAACAGTCAAGTTTGATTAGCATTTTACAAATGATTATCGAATCTCACGAGGCGTGATCGTGGATGCGCACTGCTGAGGAGTCCCACTCTAGGATAAAACGGCTGTCCAATGCTTCCAAGTTTTCCATGATGGTCTAGCTTCAATTGATTCATGATCTCAACTATATAAAATTACTATAATATCCACAAAACCCCTTCTGATATTAATTAACATATGCTCACTAGTGATTGACTTCAAGAGGTATTTCCTGGAGTTCTAATGAGAAGCAGTAACCAATGGAGTTCAACCAGGTCTTTTGTGTGATAGTAACTCACTGAAGACAATGGAGGATGTGTCGCGTTTATTCTTTTCTCTTTTAACTGAAATGTTGTTATTATTATCGAATTTCTTGAATAAACTAAGAAATTTGACTCATGATTTCAACTTTGAAAAAATACTGAAATCTTCACAAAACCCCTTCTGATTATAATCATATGCTCACTAGTGACTGACTTCAAGATGCATGTCCTGGAGTTCTAGTGGGAAGCAGTGACCAGTTGAGTTCAACCACGTCTGTTGTGAGATAACAACTCACTGAAGACAATTGGTGAATGGTCGCCCGTAATTCGTGGATCGGTTGAAGTTAGACATTAACACCGTTGGATACCGGCTCAGTGGTCTATCGGTTAAGTGCTCTGGCGCGATACTGGTAGGTCGTGGGTTCGAATCTCGCGAGTGCGGGATCGTGGATGCGCGTTGCTAAGGAGTCCCGCAATTGGACAAAACGGCCGTCTAGTGCTTCCAGGTTTTCAATAGTGGTCTTGCTTCAATTGACTCATGATTTCAACTTTTTTGAGAAATTTCATTTGGATATTATATCATCCATTTAATTAATATTTCAACAAAAAAATTCTTGTTTTCTTTCTTTTTTCGGTTATTTTTTTATCACCTCTGAACTTTTCTCTCTTTCACTCCTTCTCTTTTTCTTTCTCTATCTCACTCACTCACTCACACACACCCACTTACTTCAATTACGCCTGTCACTCCTAATGGAGCATAGGCCACCGACCAGCATTGTCACACACTCTCTCTCACACACACACTCTATTTTGTTTTATCATAATCAATCATAAAATCAAAAATAAACGAATTCCATTTTTCAATTTTCAAAGTTTATTAAATAACAAAAAAAGAAAAAAAGAAGCAGAGAAAAACAAAAAAAAGACAGAACTATTGACAATTAAACTAGTGAAATGTTTATATTTTCATGATTAAAACAGTCGTCCTCTTTATAACGAAGATGAAAACATTCGAAATAGACTATAATTTAGATGATATTGTAAAGATTGAACAATCTTATAAGGATAGTTGGCAAGACTATAGTTTATGGACTAGCCAATCAGAAGCATTTTTGAGGAATTTCAAGGTTACGGCGCCAATTTTAGTACCTGATGCTCATATACGATCGTTTCACAAAGAATTTTAGAGAAGATTTGACAATTAAGCGGTTACAAACAAATGAGACTACTAAGAAGTTCCTGTATTTGTAACTGCGGGTATTAAATGACTCGTAGACCTTGTGCAGACTACAGTGATGTTGTCCTTCGATGTAATATATGTTGAAGGAAGACGTTTGCTAGAATAGGAACCTTTATCACTCGATCCAGATTGAGACTAAGGTATATTATAATAATTGACGCTAACTGTATAATAAAAGCACCAATAACATTGACTGCAATAATCGCAGATGTTACTGAAGCTTTGGCTGTTCAACAGGTATGAGTACTGTAGGGACATATCCATAATAAAAATGATAAACTTACACAACCGTAGTACACAAAAACAATAATAAAGCTATGTAGTCGAGGCTTAGAGGGTTTTCAAGACCTTATCATGGCTCCAGAGACCAATTATTAAGGAGCCATATGGATGAGTTCCTTTACCTTTGAACCTTTTTCTAACCTTGACAAGTTTTTGGACCATATAAAAGATGTGTATCCACTTTAATTATTTGGTTTTATATAATATATTTGTACTCTATGCTGACTGTTCACTGATTGGCTAACATTTGTCAAGGTCACTTAAGATTCGTTCAAAGGACGTCCATAAATTACAGTCTCGCCGGATGATTTTATATCATGTTACCCTTCATTGAGGAGTATAAACCATCCACCAATGTTCTTCATCCAACTCTGTCCTTCACAATCATTTACACTTGTTTACAGTTGATATTCATCCTTTTCATGTCTCTTCCCAATTCCTGACGTAGCGTGTTCTTCGGTGTTCCTCTTTTCTGTTTCATTTCACGATTACAAGTTAGCAGTTGCCTTGTGATGTAGTTTGATGATTTCCTTAATGTGTGTCCTATCCACATCCAATATCTTTTCCTAATTTTCTCTTCATCTAGAAGCAGATGTGTTCTCTTCTACAGTAGACTGTTGTTGATAGTATAATCATTATGAGCCATGAAGAACTTCCATAGATTATTCAATGTAATGTAATGTACAACTTATCAACAATGAATACTGACAATTCCTTCAGCGATCGTACTCATGATCCCTCACTGACTTGGTATCTAATTGTTCTATTTTTAACTTGATGGATGGTTGGATCATGTGTTGAATTAAAAAACAACCCAGAATAGGTGACTAGTTTCAGCGAGGTATTCGATTTATGATTGCATCTCAAAACAGTCAGTCTTAAACTTATCATGATGTGTTTAAACCAAGAAAAAAAATGAAATTTTTCACAGCACGTTTTGTTCCAATCCAAACTTCTCAGCTAGAGATGCCTGTACCCAAGTGTTGACATTTACACTGGAGTCTAAACCAATTTAATGGTTATCTTAGTTCAGTAGTCTAATGAATAACGCTATCATGTTTTGTGTAATAATCACGATACAAATTCAAATATATCCAATTAACTGAGACCAGTCAATCGACATCTGGATAATGTATATTCTTCTCGCTGCATATTGCCAGCAACCACGATATATCTGATTAAGCCTTCTGTAACATTTACAGCGAAAGGTCTTACACTTTTCAGAAACGCACCTGAATAGGTTGTGCGATTAATAGGCATAATGATGTATTAAAACAAACGAAATTAGATAACTTATTAAAATATCTAGAAGATAGGAACACGTAGCCCAGAGGTTTAAACAGGCCGCCAATTAAAGATATTGAAGATATTGTACATTGAGGGATTGTAATATAAATTGAATGATAACTGTTATGTTCCATATGTTTTAATATCTAGCAATATGCAATATTGGTTGTCATCCAGTTCACGGAACTTGTTCAAGACCAGGAGAATGCGAGTAAGTTGATTATTTTGTTTCATGGATCATTTAGTGGTGCCTAATTTCATATTTATCTAATCTTTTTTGATCCTGTTCGAATCCCATTGATCAAGTCTCATTTCGAATTAGTTTTATCATTAAAACTATTTTCTATGTGAATCATAAATTTTTACAAATCATTAAAAGAAAAACAAAATTATAATAGTAATTTGATAGTTGAGTCCATGAGTTCGAATGTGTCTGTTGTGAGGCAGTTACTCACTAAAGACAATCGTGGATGGTGGCGCAATATCATGGATTGATTAAAGTTAGACATTAACACTATTTGATACCGACTTAGTGGTCTAGAGGTTAGGCATTAGCACATGAATCTGACAGATCCTGGATTGAGCCCCTTATGGTCGGGATCGTGGATGTACACTATCGAGGAGTCACATACTAGGATGTAACGGCCGTTTAGTGCTTCTAAGTTTTCCATGGTAGTGTAGCTTTAATCGATTCATGCATTCAACGATTAAATGAGTTTTTAATTTTCGTTTTCGAATAAAGCAATTATCATTCTCCATCCCCTACCTTGCCCCCCACCAAATATAATTTACAAAAGAAAGCAAATAAACAAAACTTTTATTTGATTATATACCCTGATTATTTTTTTTCATGTAACTGTAATCAAATGACAACCAAGATTGTTAGTCGGGTATGTTTACTTGTCTTCTATTGATAAACTGATATCTCTTCTTCTATTATTTTGATTGAGATAATGAATCAGTTAATGCCAAACTGCTAATGAGTATCTAGAAGCACTAGATAGCCATTTCGTTGTGGTGTTGGATTCCTTAACAGTTCATATCCACGATCCTGCATGTGGGATTCGAACGCAGAACCTTCAGCCTAACGTGCAAATATTTAATCTCTAGAGCAATGAGCTGGCATCCAACGGCATGCATTGATTGCTAAAGAGTCTTATACTAGAACGAAACAGCAGTCCAATGCTTTCAGATTTTAAATAATGGTCTTAAATTGATCGATTCATGATCTCAACCAAAACTCAACAATCTCCACACTATTCACTTTTTCCAGATTACTGGTAAAACAAAAACGAACACAATAAACAAATGAATGTTGTTGATAAGTGAATAAAGTATAGATATACACTAGTCACTTTCCTATTGATTGAATCAGTAACTAACAATTAAATGTTAAAAAGATACATTTGATATCTATTTAAGACTAGTCAATTTAATATTGTTAATGTAGAATTTCATATTGTGGTGTGGGTTACTGATATCCACATAAGTAGTATATGGTGATAGTCGAGCATTAAATGTATTTCTGTAGAAGATCGATAAGGAGAGAACAGTAACGGCATGTAATTGGTACGAAAATGCATGAACAATTATAATCGGAGTCTATGGACGGATATTTGAAGAAGAAACAGTCAATATCGAAACAATTGATTGATAGTTTGTGAATTAACTGTTCACTATATGGAATATGAAATACATTCGATTATCCCCACCAGTGTTCTTGTTCACTATAATATGTCCATAGGTATCTTTTACAAATATGTTCCATAATACTGTTTAGTCATAGTCTGGATGCAAGTGTAAAGGTAATAAGTAAACCTAATTTATCTATCTCTACATTGTCAGTTATTATAGTAATTATCAGAATCTGAAGGAATTGTAATTACTTAGTTACAAAGGAGAAGAGTAAAAAATGCACATATGGAATATCAATCTTTGCTTCAGGAAAATCAATAATTATGATAATCAGTCATATTTATATAAGAAGAGCATGATTTTCATTAATTGATAGTTACTTACTTACTTACGTCTGTTATCCCTCGTGGAGTAGCATGGGCCACTCACCAGCATTCTTCATCCAACTCTGTCCTGGGCAATCCTTTCCAGTTCTTTCCACTTGTTATTCATTCTTTTCATATCTGCTTCTATTTCCCGGTGTAATGTGTTCTTTGGCTTTCCTCTTTTCCGCTTACCTTCCGGATTCCAAGTTAGGAATTGCCTAGTAATGCAGTTTGGTGATTTCCTCAAAGGGTGTCCTATGCATGTTATAATTGTATTTTTGCTATATAAATGACCCAGCGATTCCTATTGCTTAGTATTCTTATACGATGACACTCGACAAGACCCCAAAATCAGAACACGTTGAACAGGAATGAAATTGTATTCAAAATAACAATGGTATGTGAACAGCAATCAGCAATCAATAGTTTAAATATCGTTCGTATATTTATAGTATATGCATAAGAAGATTATAGATTTTTCTGCAATAATATGCCCGGGCTGATCGGTTTAAAATTAACCAATTAGCGCGCAGCAACACCATCATGCATAAAACATGCTTAATCCAATCTATATCCCACTAACAATGCACTTCCATCATCTTTTCCTAATTTCCTCTTCATATGGAAGCCGGTTTGTTGTCTACCATAAAACGCTGTTGCTCACAGTATCCGGCCAGTGAATGTTTGCGTAAACAACTGTTTATAAATACATGTACCTTCTTGACGATGGATGTCGTAGTTCTCCACGTTTCAGCTCCGTACAATAGAACTAACTGTCTTGACGTTCGTATAAATAATTTTCACTTTGAAGTTAGTCGACAGTTGTGTTGAGTTCCATATGTTCTTCAATTGTAGAAATACTTCCCTTGCAATTGATAGTTAGTTAAAGTCAAATCATATTTAGATGAAATTGAATAAGAATAGTGAATGTTTACAAGTTACCATTGGTCACTTTAGCTGCTAAGATAACTATGACCCTCATTATGAAACGAACCTATATATTATTACCAGAAGGGGTTTTTTGAAGATTTAGTATTTTCATAGTTGAAATCATGGGTCAATTGAAGCTAGACCACCATGAGAAAGCTGGAAGCACTGGACGACCGTTTCGTCCTATTGTGGGATTCCTCAGCAGTGCGCATCCACGCCCTCGCCTCGCGAGCGAGATTCGATCCCAGGACCTACCAGTCTCGCTCCAGAGCCCTTAACCGATAGACCACTGAGCCGGCATCCGATGGTGTTTATGTATAACGAAACAGCCGTCCAGTGCTTCCAGGTTTTCCCTGGTGACCTAGCTTCAATTGACTCACGCTTTCAACTGTGAATCTTTTTATGTTATTCAAAACACTAGTAAGTGCTTAAGTATGCAAGAAGAAATAAGAAACGATATTTATCAATAATTGTTAAAGCTTGCATGTTTCCCCCTGTTATATGTATATTTTTACAATTGAATTTATTAATCTCACTTGATATTTGAGTTCATCTTACCCTGATGAATTGTGGGTAATCATCAAGATATATGTTGATTCCCGATGGTCGACATCTTCTAGTACCTCTGTTCATCACGTAATTATAATTTATTAGGAATCTATAAGATAGTTTGCTGTCACCATGATTACATGAATTAAAAGTGATACCACATTTGAGGCTTGATAATGTAGTTGATATAACGATAAAGGCCTTTGAATTGTACACAAGAAGTACTTGTAACCTGATTATGAATACTATTTACAGGGTCAAATAAATCCATATAATTGGTTTTTATGTTCTCACTAAGCATCGTTAAATTTAGGGTTTTAGTACCAAACATAAGTCATTTACTGATTCAATAGGTGTGATAAAACCAAGCAGAACACCAATGTGATGTGGGCTACTTATTATAGACATAAGTAGTATATACCATGAGTCAGGAATAAAACATCTAGGAGCAGAAGATTGAGAAGATCTAGAAAGGAAGAACAGAAACAGAAAGCAAATGTTGTGGAAATCCAGGAACAATGAAGCCTTAGACAATGAATGAACATTTTGCGAATGAAGCATCAGAGTATGGTTTTTCTATTTGTCCTCATCTGTATTCTCCTCCACTACTTCACCTATAGTGTTCTGTTGTTTTTTGTTTAATTCGACACTCATAATAACTTTCAATTTTCATTAATTCATTCTTTATAAGTTGTGCAACTGGTTGGCAAGGTCCACTTTGTGATGAATGTATCAAATATCCAGGATGTAAACATGGAACATGTAATGATGCACCATTTACATGCCGTTGTTTACCTAATTGGGGTGGATCATTTTGTGATCAAGGTCAGTTCATGTTAAATATACTATTATTATTATTGCTATTACTACTACCACTACTACTATTAATAATAATAATGATAATAATAATAATTACCTTTCTTCAGCACATTAACGAATTCATAGTGGAAAATGTGGAAAACAAAATTATGAGTGGAAAGATTTTAAACAACGATTAGATATCAGAAGGAGGGTTTTGTGGAGATTTTAGTAATTTTATATAATTGAAATCATGAGTCAATTGAAGCTGGACTTCTTGAAGTTCTAGTGAGAAACAGTAACCAGTGGAGTTCAATCAGGTCTGTTGAGAGATAGTAACTCACTGATGACATTGGTGAATGGTTGCTCAATTTCGTGGATTGGTTGAATTTAGACATTAACACTGTTGGATGCTGGTCGGCTCAGTGGGGTATCGGTTCAGTGCTCGCGTGCGAGACTGATAGGCTCTGAGTTCGGATCCCGCGAGGCAGGATCATGGATGCGCACTGTTGAGGAGTCCCACAATAGAACGAAAAGTACGTCCAGTGCTTTCAAGTTTTCCATGGTGGTCTAGCTTCAATTTACTCATGATCTCAACTATATAAAATGATTACATGTATAAAAATAATCTCATAATATATCAGTATATTCTTAGCAATAATTAGATTTATGATTCACTTCTCAAAGAAAGCTACCACATGTGAAGTAATAATTTACCCACCATTGTGAGTGACCTAATACCATAGGAACAACCAGTATGAAGATATTGAGGTAAATTAATACTAGTTGACTCCCAATAACTATAGATACCCTTGTGTTCTTAAAGAAAATGATGCTTTGAATGGACTTTGAAACCTGATTTCCATAGTCAAAGGAAACTATCGACTGAACTATTCAAGTAGTAATTAACTTGATGAGATATCAAATGAAGTCCATCCGTGAGAACTAATCAATTTTCTGTTTGGGAGTCTTTAGTGTTAACTGAATTCACGATGGCACTATTTCAAGTCAACAAAAAGGTTTATCGGTACATATATGATTCATTCATATTCATTATTACAAATAACACAGAAGAGTATTCTATTCTATTTTCTATTTCATTGGTAACTAATCGAATATACAGATTTGGATTATTGTGGACGACATCAACCATGTTTAAATAATGGAATATGTAGAAATTTGAATTCTTCATATTCAAAACCATTCAATTGTAGTTGTACACGTGATTTTACAGGGGAATATTGTGAAATAAGTAAGATTATCATGTATAATTCTTTTGGTTAAATTATTCGTTGTTAATTTATTTCGAAATTTGTCACTGACATACTTACACCTGTTGACCCTCGTGGAGGAGTATAAGCCGGCCACTAACATTCTCCATCCAACTCTGTCCTTAACAGTCTTTTCCACTTGTTTACAGTTGATATGTATCCTTTTCATATCTGTTCCTAATTCCCAACTTAACGTGTTTCATGATCCTTCACTTTTCCGTTTCCTTTCACAATTCCAAGTTAGTGCTTGCTTCGTGATGCAGTTTGATGATTTCCTCACTGTGTGTCCTATCCACTTTCAATATCTTTTCCTAATTTCCTCTTCATTTGGAAGATGGTTTTTCCTCTCTTACAGAAGTATGTTCCTGATGGCATCCAAAAAACGAACACACATTATCTTGTGTAGAGAATTGTTTAGGAATACTTGCACTATTTTGGTGATGGATGTAGTAGTTCTCCAAATTTCAGCTCTGTACAGTAGGACTGTGTTGACATTCGTTTTGAGGATTCTCACTTTGATATTAACCGACAGACAGTTGTGTTGAGTTCCATATGCTCTTCAGTTGTAAGAATGCTGACCTTGCTTTACCAGTCCTTCCGTTTACGTTTACATCGGGTCCTCTTTGTTCATTGACGATGCTAACCAGGTGCGTGGAAGTTTTCCCCTCTTCCAGAGTTTCTCCATCGGTTTTGATTGATTTGGTTGGTGTTATCCGTGTTTTAGTTAAGAATCTTGCTTTTTCCCTTGCGTATGGTGGGGCCCACTGATGCAGAAGCTGCTGCTACACTGTTTGTCTTGACCTGCAATTGTTAATGCGTATGGGATACAAAGGCTAGATAATCTGTGAAGTCCAAATCATCTTGTTGCATCCCAGCTATCTAAATTTGCTAGTATAACTTCATCTTCTAGTTAAGGATTTTATATACTTACCTTCCAGTTATTAACTTTTTCTCATAGCAAATTAGCTCCTCAAGATGAAGTTGAATTTAAGTAGTAAAGTTATAACGTTGAGCTAACTACTTAGAACTGAAAAATTTAACAGAAGAGCTATTATCCTCGATAGTAACAAGGAACAATCAGTGTATACATAAAGCTTTTTGAGAATTCTATGTTGGAGTTCATAAGATCTCGATTTTTGATTTTCTTCAAATTTATTAGGGTTGGTACTACAAACAACTACCATAAATCGGACATTCATTGTAGAGCCTGAATGATCCGAGTTTGAAACTCACAAGGTCCATCTGTTCAATTATGGTTGTAGATTACCCCTAATCTAATGATATCAATATAATAAGCCCATATCGCCATTATTATGATTCGATCAAAGACTTCATTAACATTACACAGTTGACAATGTCAAATAAGGGAAAATTTATCCTAAAATTTCTATGATGTATCAAGTTTGTATAATAAATCAACACAAGCACTGAACTAGAAGGGATAAGATAGATTATTGAATAAATGATTGTCTTTTGTTTTAACATATACAAATAAGATGAGTAGTAAATCGTAAAATCTTCATTTGAAATTTCATAGATCATCTGGCAAAACTCATATCAACCATCAAATTCATGTACACACACTGCTAAAGTGTTGTGAATATATTGAATGCCTATTGGGCTTCATTTATTATTTATTTAATATCAGTTTATAGATAGTTCTCTTCAAACTAGGGAGAATCGCTACATGACTTAAATGACCTGAAGGCAAAATAATTTGTCAAATGTAATTTATAGAAGGGATTTTGTGGAGATTTAGTATTTATCATAGATGAAAGCTTCAATTGACTCACGCTTTCATCTATAATAAATGTAATTTACCTACTTATGAGTAGTTAAAGTAGTAATTATAAAAAAGTGCGTTGATTTGGGGAATAAGTCAGAGATCGTTGAAATTGCACTTGGTTAAAAGCGATTGATATATACTCTATAGTCTTTCAGTATAGCGTTTTATAGGTTAAACAATTGAGGTGGATAACTGCGAGTGGTTTTTCTTTACGAACTTAGGCACATCCGATTATATATATAGATGGTGAGAAAAAATTCCATTGATAGACTTCATTACTGTTTTAATAATCCGTTTTCTACGAAAAGTATTCAAGCTGTCATCATCTTTGACGTAGCTAACCTACTAAACAAAGCAAATCAACTGAAAACCGTATCATCCTTTTAGTTAACGGAAATATTAATTTTTGCTGGTTAGCGTTCTTTTTAGTGAGTTTGTTTTCTAGGGGATGGGGTCGTTAACTCCATTTCCAACTCTCCTCCTTTATCCGGTCTTAGAACCGGAAGTAGCCCCCAGAGGGGATACAGGCGGATTTTAACGAAAATATTAACAAATTGTTTTTTTTCCGATAATCAATATAGAATTGGCACCATGTACAATTGATCCATGTAAACGTGGTCGTTGTATATCAACAGATAACATCACTTATGAATGTGAATGTCAACCAGGATGGCGTGGTGATCATTGTGAAGAGAGTAAGTTCAGTGGTTAAAAGTTATTTGATTTAATACTTTAGATGTTGACACTTAGAGGGAAGAATACAGGGTTCAGATACTGAAGTGGACACCAACTCTGGGATGTATAAAGTACATCCAGCTGACGAGTTGTAAATAAGACGATATGTACGTCATGGATTCCAGTGTTAGCCACATACTGTCTATTCTGCATCAACTTGTCTGACATGTCTTAAACAATATGTTTCAGTAAACTTAATTGACCCGTATGATAACTTAAATGCTTGTTATCTAGTTATCCGGTCAGGTTCAATCAAAACTTCATACGCCACCTAATACTTGAAACAATCGGCAATGAGAAAGTAAGAAAATTAAGAATACTTAGGAAGCTTTAATGTCAGAATCGAATCAAAACTTGACATCAATCACGTATACATGAATTCATAATAAATGATCCAGACAGAGGTATGTAAGCCATGAACAATTCACATATTCATAATACTATTCGTTTCTCATCTACCAATTAGTCTAAAGTCAGCATATGATCTACCTGGCTTTTCAGCAACATATAGCGTAAGGTAGCTGAATTCTGTGTACATCCTAAAATCTTGATGGGAGAGTAAGAGATTCTGAAAGTCCTAGGTTCGATTCCTGATAATTCTGTGGAGTAACCTCGTTAGAACGTTTCATGTAAGGACGGATATACATTCTCCCATGTTAAATGATTCAGTAAGACACAAATCTTAGTTTCTATTTATCTTTACAATAAAACATACTTTTTTCTCTATTTTTCATGTATTACATAATCTGACTTCGCAAAGATATTGATTATTGCCTAATCAATACATGTTTAAATGGTGGAACATGTCAAGATTTAGATGGTCCTGGTTTCCAATGTTTATGTCCACCTGGTTTTAAAGGATCTAATTGTCAATTAAGATCACCATGTAGTAATTCACAATGTGTTCATGCAGTCAATTGTAAACAATTAATACAACCAGTAAATGGAATTGATTATGAATGTATGTGTCAACCTGGTTGGACAGGACAATTTTGTGATCAAAGTAAGTGAAAAAAAGAAAGATGGGTATTGTTTAATATTTTAAAAAGAATAGGAAACTCGATCAGTCATTTTTATATTTATGATACATTGGAATCAGTTTGGAGCCATGTTTGATGACATCACAGTCTGCTTATTTGTATGATGTTGATGATGATGTGATGAACCAAATACCGTCAGTCCAATCTCATAAAATGATCACTTCAGCATCTTTTCCATATAGTTGCATTCTCTACTAGACCACCATAGAATACGTGGAAGCACTGGACTGTCGTTTCGTCCTATTGTGGTACTCCTCAGCAGTGCACATCCATGATCCCTCCTGGCGAGATTCGAACCCAGAAACTATCAGTCTCACGCGCGAGCGCTTAACCTTTAAAACCACTGAGCCGACTGGCATCCAATGATGTTAATGTCTAACTTCAATCAATCCACGAAATTGAACAACCATCCACCACTGTCTTCAATTGAATCATGATTTCAACTATATAAAATCACTAAAATCTCCACACAAAACCCCCTCCTGTCAAATAGATAAGTTTGAATGATACAAGTTGAATAGTATGAATGTATCATCTAAAGTTGTCAATATCTTTTACTGATCAGCTGGGTTTTCTATTTTGAAGTGGATTTGACTAAAGTTATCCATAACGATTGATTGTTCCTCTCCAATTATTTAACAATAAGCAGTTACTTACTTACTTACGCCTGTTACTCACAATGGAGCATAGGCCGCCTACCAGCATTCTCCAACCCACTCTGTCCTGGGCTTTCTTTTCTCGTTCATTGTTCATTCTTCTCATGTCTGTCTCTATTTCTCGTCGTAATGTGTTCTTTGGTTCTCCTCTTCTCCTTTGGCCATCAGGATTCCATGTGAGGGCTTGTCTTGTGACGCGATTGGGTGATTTCCTCAAAGTGCGTATTATCCACTTCGAGCCCTTCTTCCTGATTTCTTCCTCCACTGGAATCTGGTCTGTTGTCTCCCACAGTAACTTGTTGCTGATAGTGTCTGATCAACGGATGCGAAGTATCTTGCGTAGAAAACTGTTAATAAACACCTGTATCTTCTGGATGATGGCTTTCGTGGTTCTCCAGCTCTCCGCACCATACAGTACAACTGTCTTGACATTTGTATTGAAAATTCTGATCTTGGTGTTGGTTGACAATTGTTTTCAGTTCCAGATTTTCTTCAGTTGTAATGGTTTGAATGGTTTGAATAATTTTTTCACATTACTGCGAGTTGGTTTTCTACGGGATGGGGTCGCTAACCCCATGCCCAACCCTCCTCCTTTATCCGGGCTTGGGACCGGCAGTAGTCCACGGAGGAGCTACAGGTGGAGTTAAAAATAAACAGTTACATAATGATATTCATTCGTTTACTTTCTTTATAAATTGCGTGACTCAATTCAATCTTTTATTGATATTTCATTTGTTGATTACATAATTATTTACACTAATGATTGTTTTATTTTTCTTTTTCTTCTTCTAAATAATTAAGATATTGATGATTGTGTTGACAAATGTAAAAATGGAGGAACATGTCACGTAAGAAGCTTATTTTATTTACTTAATAATAATAAATGTAAATGTGACGTTAGACATTAACACCGTTGGATGCTAGCCGGCTCAGTGGTCTATCGGCTAAGTGCTCTGGCGCGAGACTGGTAGGTCGTGGGTTCGAATCTCGCGAGCGCGGGATCGTGGATGCGCACTGCTGAGGATTTCCACAATAGGACGAAACGTTCGTTTAGTGCTCCCAGGTTTCCCATGGTGGTCTAGCTTCAATTGACTCATGATTTTAACTATGAAAATACTGAAATCTCCACAAAACCTTTACTGATCAATAATAAATGTAATAATAATAGTGGTAATGGTAGTAATGGTATTATTACCACTATTACTATTGCCATTAGTAGCTCCTCCGAAGGCTACTGCCGGTCCCAAGCCCGAATAAAAGACTCCATCCCGTAGAAAACCAATTCGTTAAACAAAACGCTAACCAGCAGTGGTGTGAGTAGTAGTAGTCATAGTAATGGTAGTAGTAGTATTGATATTAGTATTAGTAGTAGTGTAGCGAACGAGAACAGAAGTGGAGACAATCAAATGTATTTTAACACCAAATTACAGAACATCTTAGTAAAATCTGAGAACCATACAGTAAATACTTCATTTGCAAAATATCAGTCAACCGTTTCAGACTTCATTATTCTTTTGTTTCCATACCAATCATTCTTTTTTCTAGTTCTCTTCCATCGATCTACTTAACGTTATACCACCTGGCACTACACTCTCTATTACTGATACATAACACTTATATATGTCGATATCAGTAGCACACACCACAGTAGTAGTAGTCGTATTGGTAGTAGTGGTAGTGGGGTGTGAGTTACTTATATCCACACAAGTAGTATATAATGATGGTCGGGCATAGAATGTAATTCAGTAAAAGATCGATAAGGACAGGACGGAAATGGGACGAAATCGGCATGAAAATGCATGAACACATGGACAGATATTTGCTTAAGGTATGGTCAAGATTGAGGCAATTGATTTATGGTTTGCGAATTAACTGTTTACTGTATGGTTGTCCGATTTTAGTGAGAGATTCTGTACTTTTGTGTTACCACTCATCTTTTTGTTTACTACAGTAGTACTACTACTGCTACGAATACTACTAGTAGTTAGTTAGTTAGTCATAATCAATATTTTTGACAATGTTGATTCATTGAAAATTCATTTCTGTTGAGATCTCAGTAACAAACAATGACTTGAGGAATCGCATAAATGATCTCAAAGAATTGGTATTTTTTTGGGCATTTTTCTGTTGACGACTCCCAAAATAGGACGAAACGGCCGTCAATTGCTTCCAGGCTTTCCCTGGTGGTCTAGCTTCGATTGACTCACGCTTTCAACTATGATTATTTTGTTTGCTAATATCGAGACTCTTTGGATGGGAATTGAACGTTTTCTACATTTCCATGTTGATTATATTTTGAACGATTTGTAGCAGTAGAATACAGATGTTCCACCTATTCATTCTAGTTTGAGACTCCGCAGTCTGATTTACCTATATTTCAATGTGCATTAATGTTTAAGTTAAGAATAGAACTTAGTTTTAATAGCTTCAAACGTTAGTTGAGCTTCTTTCCCTTCAGAGATATGTAGGTACAAAATTCGATCCCAGGCGAGATTGTGAGTGAACACTTCTGTGAAGTTTTATATAGTTAAGATCATGAGTCGATTGAAGCTAGACCGCCGTGTAAAACTCAAAAGTACTGGACGGCCGTTTCGTCCTATTGTGGAAATCTTCAGTAGTGTTTATGCACGATCCCGTCTCGCGAGATTCCAACCCATATACTCACTCGTGACTGGCTCCATGAGGTAATTCCTGGAGTTCTAGTGAGAAGTTGTGGCCAGTGGAGCTAATCCATATCAGGCAAAGACAGGTATCTACCTCAGTACAATGGAAGTTGGTCGCGCGATCTCGTGAATTGGTTCAGGTTAGACATTAACATTGTTGGATGCCAGCCGGCTCAATGGTCTAGAGGTTAAGTGCTCGCACGCGAGACTGGTACGACCTGGGTTCGAATCCCGTGAGGCAGGACCGTGGATGCGCTCTGCTGAGGAGTCCCAAAGTATGACGAAACGGCTGTCCAGTGCTTCCAGATTTTCCATAGTTGTCTAGCTTCAGTTGACTCATGATCTTAACTATTATAAAATTGATAAAATCTCCACAAAACCCCCTTGTAACTTCCGTGAAGCACTACAGTAGGACAATAAATTTATCCAATGATCTCTGATTCAAATGGTATCTCAAATGAAATGAGTCTTTGATGAATACTACCCAGAAATATTCAATGTGGTTATCTTGATATAGGTTTGTTCTCTGAGCTGGACGGTTTGGTCATAGAGCTTTCGTCGTCCTTCTGAACGACATCATCAGCACAAACTTCCAGTAGAAGTGAAGTGTTTGAATTTCTCTACATGTAATTCATAGCTTGTCCTGTGCATATCGATGTTGATTAGTTCCTATTGACCTTGAATCTGTCATTGTTTAGTTCCATTATTAGTTGTATCTCCTATTGGTTTGATTTTTGTTCCTATGTTTCTGCATAGTTTTCTTCAATTCCCTTCTACCCAAAGTTTTTGCTGATGATGTCGTTCAGAAGGACGATGAAAGCTCCACAACCATACCGTCCAGCTCAGAGAATAAACCTACATCAAAATCACCCACCTGAGCTATAAATCTTCTCCACCATCTCATAATTTCATCTATTTATATTTCTTTTAGGATCTTCTAGATGATTTCTATTGTACTTGTCCAATTGGATTTGAAGGTAGATATTGTGAAATTAATCGTGAATGTTCTAGTAAACCATGTCAAAATAAAGGAATTTGTCATGAAATTCCTGGTGGTTATTTATGTGAATGCCCAAATGGATTTATAGGACAAAATTGTGAAGTAAGTGAGATAACCTGCTGGATTTATTATCGATTTCTCATGATAAATTCTATAATGAATGAATCTGTTGTGAAAATAGACATTGGTAGTGTGATGGTCGATATTCGATATATCCGGTATATTATTCGTCCTGATAACCGTCACTCGATAACGTCCTAACGGTGTATAAATCAGAAAGCGAATAAGAAGGGTTGATTGAGTTTATTATTGGATCACACACAGATATCCAGAATTGCAGGCACGTTAAACAAGCATGAAAGAGTAGTGTCGTAATGCAGGCGAGTGACCGTGAGAGTCGAGTGAGCGAGAGATTAATCAATCGAGTCAGCGAGTAAGCGAGTACAGTACAATAAACAGGATTAAGATGTACATATATATACAAATGGAAATGCATGAATCAACTAATAAATACTAAGGCTAGCAGAATGAATACATGCGTAGGCAGTAAGCAATGCTTAAGCGTACATAATAAAAGTACGTTAGTATAGATAGGTTGTTGTTGTTGTTGTACGAATGACTGTCCGTTAAACAAGTTAACAAAAGGGCTTAGCCAAATTAGATGTAAACAAACTCAATTGTATGTGAGCTGCTATAGTAGTATCGTTCAACGATTCATTAGAAATGACTCCAAGTTCTTTATTACAACTACAGTTATAAGACTGTTGTAAGAAATAAATCAGTCATTGATTTTAAAGTGTTATTCATCAGCATTGATATTGAGAAGCTGTGTGAAGTTTCTGAAATGATCATCAAGTCTTTCATTCAAGTGAAATGTTTTAGTTGAATTGTATGTTGGCAGAAACTCTTCAGTCATGTATATCGAAAGTTTTCATGAGTATCGCTCAATACAATTGAAGACTTTAAGTTTTGTCCAGATGGATTATTAATGATTCACATTTACGTGTGGATCTTGTAACATCATTCTATTTGTCAATAGTAGGCGTGTATTTTATTTTATTTAAACACACCAGATATATATGTACCGCACAAATCTCATTTGATTTGTGTGAAGGCCGTAAAACTGTTCAGGTGCCCTAACCGGAACAGGTGGTTTTCTTAGGGGACCACACCCGGAGTCTTTGACCTAAAGGTCTGATCCATAAGGCTGTGAGGCGTCGTGAGGAGATGCATTCCCATGGTAGCCGGTGACCAACGATTGATTCATACTCCATTTGTTCCCTCAGAATACTGGAGCCCATGTGTACCATTGGTTTGGGATCAGGGTTTTCCAACTTTCATAGATGGACTTCCCGTGTCCGCCAACTCGGTCAAAGCACCGGGCATTCTCTTTTCGTTCTTTCAATTTTGTAAACAACACCAACGCCACGAGAAGACAGTGAGTAGGACTCCCTTAGCAAAGGCTATATACTCGTGGCCATGTGAAAGCATTTCGAGAGGGAGAGTGTACTCTCCACACTCTCGGCCGTACCAGGGCATTTTGAGGCAGGCATGTACTAAGCGAAATCTAATCATTTTATTGAACTAAATAATTTGTGCAAACTTATTCATTTTGAAGATAAGAATCAGCAGACACTGAGGCAAAAGAATAAACTACTTAGAACCACACACCTCCTATTTGTATTTGTCGATTCGACTGCACTTATAGAGCAAGTTATGTTGGTTCGTGCTCGTGAATACGTTCCATAGTGTCTAAGCAAAGATCCAGTCAGAAAAGTGAACAGCTCGATATTGGCCCATTTAGTGCAAATTGGTCATAGTTCCAGCATACATCAATCTTTCTCAATTATTTATCGGGTCAGAAATATTTTATCAAGGTTTTTCAGACCCAAAACTCTTCAAAGGAGCAAAAGATGTAGCCATTCAAACTAAACAACCGAAGCCAAGTGTATGAAACAAATATCTTTAACCACTTCTCTTATCTTGGTCAACCTCAGGCCCAATTAACCAATAGTAATCTTAATTATACGATGAACTTGCAACCTTTCTTGGTCAAATATAATCTTTGTGATCTTAGATCACATACCTTTAGATTATCATTATTATTGGTTTAACATCAGTAACAGTATCATGGCGAGACTATAATTTATGGATGAACCAATCAGGTATAAGATAACAAGTCTTGGATTTTGGCGCGAAATTCACTCATCCATTTGAATAAATAGAGTTTTAGCATTATAGCTGATGTCAGTTCGTGATGAAAACCCTCAATCTCATTCCTAACCATCAACTGTAAATCATGATTCTAATTCCTCACACACTGGCTTATAACCCTCATTTAGTCCTAGGTATTAGCTGGACACTCTCAATGAGTCAGTTCAGCATCACTCAAAGGTTGTCCATAAATTATCGTCTCACCAATGTCCCGAGTACATTACTAGTCTTCTTGAGACTCACACGACTTTATAAATTCTTACTGAATTCATATAACTTTGTACACAATCTATTCTTCCACTCAACATTTGATCGAATTTGTAATCGGACTATTATTTCTCTCACCTTATCTGACTCATCTCAACAATAACAATTCTATTTAATAGTTGAATTCATGATTTAATCCGAGCTAGACCACCATTGAAAATCACTGGATAGTCGTTTCTTCCTGGTACAGGACTCCTCTACAGTGCGCATCGACCATCCCTCACAACATGGGACTGAAATCCATGACATGTAGTCTCACCTACGAACACTTAACCTGTAATGTAAATATAAATTTCATCTGTTATTTTATTTATTTATTCTTGTTTTTTGTTCTATAAAAGATTTCAATCAATGGATGTAATCCAAATCTTTGTCAAAATGGTGCTTATTGTTATACATTATCTACTGGTTTCTATTGTAAATGTTCAGAACATTTTTATGGACAATTCTGTGAACACCGACGACCATATTGTGGACCAGATGGTTGTGATACATTAATGGATCCATGTTTAATTATGTTAATGATGCAAAATAATGATACATTCTCATATCCCACTTCGTTTTCCTCCTCGTTGACATCGTCATCTTCATCAGTATTAACCCATCAACAATCAATAATGATTCCAAGAAATTCAACTCCATCAAATATGGATAATTTATTAATTAGTCATCATGAGATTACATATCCTTATGGTGTATGTGGTCAACATGGTACATGTATTAGTACAGACCATGGAGATTATAAATGTATTTGTGGTACTGGTTATCAAGGAAAATATTGTCATCAATCAATTAATTATTGTGAAACGATGCCATGTATGAATAATGGTATATGTATAAATGGTTTAGAAGGTTATGAATGTATATGTGAAGAAGGATTTAATGGTGTACAATGTGAAAATCGTAAGTGATTCCACTAATTTCTCACAATGGTTATGAAATTGTGAACATCATAGATTGTCTCAATGAGCTGAATGGTTAAAGTATTCGATTTCTAATCCACAGATCTTATACTTAATAAGATTGGTAGCTGGATAGTGTCATTAGCTCCCATCAAAAAGGCAGTGAACCTTCAAATTTAAGTTCACGTAGGATCATTCTGATCAAACACTACAATCGTCCAATACCAATAATAATTTACGGCTGTGAAACATGGCCATTAAGAGTAGAAGATGCTCGTAAGTTACTAGTATATGTCCACAGATGCCTTAGAAATATTGCTCGCATCTGCTGGGATCACCGAGTAAGTAATAGTGAGTTCAGACACAGGGTACTAGGTATGATGGTAAATCAGTTGATGAGGTCATGAATTTTCGTCGACTGAGATGGTTAGGCCACTTGTTACGTATACCTGAACACCTATTATCAGGACGCGCTATGCTGACTAGTGTAGGGGACGGTTGGAAGAAAATTAGGGGTGGCCAAACCAAAACGTGGCATCACTGCTTGAAGTCATTAACTTCTAGTCTTAGCTATGTTGGTAGATACAGACTACCTGGTTGGGGTCCGCGTGACTATCGTAATCAATGGTTGGAGACTCTGTGTGACATGGCTGAGAATCGATCACAATGGCGTAGGTGTATACACTTTTTATCTTCCCTTAAACCTTGAGATTAAAATTATTTCCTTCCTCCCTTATATACAACTTATCTTTTATATATTACCACCACTAAATTAACTACTTCTATGAATCCGGTGTTCACCTTGTTTTGGTAACGAGGTATGGCAACTTGGACCGATGCATATATGTGCCTGGTCCTAAGTTGTAGCTGACTGACAAATGATACTTCCCGTTTTTAAACTACTGTCAATCCATTATAAACCTCTTTAATCAAATGATCCATTGATTTTCCTATTTTTTATTTATAGCTATTGATTTATGTCAACCAAATCCATGTCAAAATGGTGGCTATTGTCAGCATACATTATATCCAGGTGATTTTCAATGTCATTGTCCACCAGGTTGGTCTGGTCGTTGGTGTGAATTTCAAACAGATAATCCATGTAATATGGCTAAAATTTGTTTTAATAATGGTAAATGTCAACAAGATCATTTAAGTCCTGCATTATTTAAATGTGAATGTGATAAAGAATGGATTGGATCTGTTTGCCAGTTACGTAAGTTTAGTTGATCTATAAACCAATTTAGTGACCCTATATGTGACACCATGTTGATTGTGTACATAATTATTATTGAAGTATTCATATCGGCTATCCTCGCACACAATTATCGACTTCATTCGCGTTGGTGATTAACGGAATCAAACAAGTCAAATAGAAGAATGACATCTTGAATACCTATATTTCGTACAATGGTTGATTGAGCCAAACGATCGAAGAAACGAAGCAAAGTAAGTGAAGTGAGTAGAGGGAAATGACGCTCATTGAAGATGGAGTGTGGGCCAACTCAATTCAATTAAGCGTTAATCAATATTTGTAGTCACATAATAATAAGTTACAGACATGTGATGAGTAAGATGAGAAATGTATATGCTTACATAAAAATAGTCACGGTTGATAAGTGAATAATTAACAAGGTCAAAATGTAGCTCTAGGACAATGAATACATTGATGTGTCAGAAAGTTAAAATAAGCTGTGCTGACTTAACACAGCAACCAACATTACACCAATAATCGCCTAACCTCTACAATCACTAAGCCGAACGACATCCAACAGTGTAAATGTCTAACTTCAACCAATCCATGAAATTGAGCACGAATCTAGTGAGGCAGGATCAGGGATGCGCGCTGTTGAGGAGTCTCACAATAGGACAAAACGGTTGTCCAGTGCTTCCATGTTTTCCGTGATGATCTAGCTTCAATTGACTCATGATCTCAACTATTAAACTTACTATAATATCCACAAAAACCTCTTCTGAAAATTTTGAATAAACCTGACTTTATCCTTTAATGTTATTGCAAAACAAAAATATAGTTTGAAATAAAGCAAGACCAAATGCCCTGGTACAGCTGAGAGTGAGGAGAGTCCGCTCTCCCTCTCCAAATGCTCTCACATGGTCACACGTATATAGCCTCTTCAAGGGAATTCCTACTCACTGCCTTCTCGTGGCACCGGTGTTTTTTTACGAAATTGAGGGGACGAAAAGCGAATGTTCGGTGTTTTAACTGGATTGATGGACACAGAGGGGAGTTGGAAACCGCTATTCCAAACCAATGGTGCACATGGGCTTCAGTACTCTGAGGGAACAAATGGCGTATGAATCAACCGTTGGTCACCGACTACAGTGAGACCGCATCTCCTTACGATGCCCCACGACTTTGTGGATCAAACATTTACGTTGAAGGCTCGGGGTGTGGCCCCTTAAGAAAACCACCTGCTTCAGTTCGGGCACCGAGTAGTATCACAGCTCTCATAAATGTCAAATGAGATTTGTGCAGTGTATATATCTGGTGCCTCTTTGTACCAATATTCATGTGTTCAAATAAATAATAATAATAAATTTTACATTAAATTCTTTTGTTCATTCATTTCCAATTTAAGGTCGACCAGAAACAAGATCATGTGTACAAGAAAATCTATGCAAAAATGGTGCTACATGCGTTGATTTAGGTAATAGTTTTAATTGTATTTGTCGTCCTGGTTTTGATGGTCAATATTGTGAAAATGAAATTAATGAATGTAATTCAATGCCATGGTGAGTTCACTTATTATATATACAACTTTGTTTAATTAATGTCGTAAAAAAATTATTGTCTTACGCGTGTTATCCCTCGTAGACGAGCGTAGGTCGTCAACCAAGATTTTCTATCGAAATCTATCCTTTCCAGTCGTTGCACTGGCTGAAATTCGAAGCATGAACAACTAAGATTTCAATCCAATTGTCATGCACTCATCTAGAGGTTAGAAGTTTCTATGTTTAATCCTTGACAGATTCGTGAACACCTATTACTACAGGGTATACTGACACAAAACACCGAAACTATTGGATAGCCTTCAATGATTGTCTAACTGTGAACACTTCATTGTGAGGACGGTCCACAGGTGAACTTAAGGAAGCTCTTAGAAGCTCAAAAGGAGCCGAACATATTCCATCCAATCAGCTTTAGGAAGAATATTCCAGAGTCACTACCTGTAGCCTTTCCTATTGGACGATGCTAACAACCTCCTGTGTGCGGATTGGGTAACTATAATGGTGATTGTGTTTTTACTAAAAACTGTAAATACCTGACAGTTTTGTACCACAATTGACACTGTGTTGGGAACAACATTCCTTCTTACTAGTCTTCTCTCTTGCGACCTTACGGATTAAATCGTTCAAGTAATCTAGTAGTATGTGGCATAGCAAGAATCCAAAGCTCTAGATATAACAATTACTTATCTAATTTTTTTTATCTTCCAGTTACAATAATGGAACATGTAAAGATCTTATTAATTCTTTTGAATGTGATTGCCCTAAAGGTTTTATTGGAACTGATTGTAGAATAAGTAAGTTATGAAATTTTCTTTATTTGTCTTACAATGATGCAATGAATTTGACATGTTGACGATATTCATGATCTGTCATGAAACCTTAATGGTGTAGATACAATATACTGAATGATAGCAGTTTACTTAATTGTTCTGAGGAGCTGTGACCATTTCATTAGTAGTTCCATAACTCAATAGAGGGATATTAATGATTAGAATATGATCAGAAGGGGTTTTGTGGAGATTTCAGTATATTTCAAAGTTGAAATCATCAGTCAATTGAAGCTAGACCATCATGGAAAACATGGAAGCACTGGACGACCGTTTCGTCCTATTATGGGACTCCTCAGCAGTGCGCATCCACGATCCCGCAATCGCGAGATTCGAACCCACGACCTACCAGTCTCGAGCCAGAGCCCTGATTTTTCAAAGGATTAAATATGTCTATTCATGTGTTAATCTTTTCGATGTTCTATTCTGTTCTCTATTTGTCATTCGATAAATATGTTGGGGATATCAAATCCCCAGAACTCACTTGGTAAATAGCTTATTTTTATAAATTTGAATTTCCTTTTTTTCGCGCCAAAAGCGCTCCTTTCACTTTCAAGTCGTATTTCCCACTTGAAAATATCTTAAACGCTATTGATCCGTTGTATCTTTTTAGTGTGCTATTTTGTGATGTTTCCCAAAGACAATTTTATGCTATATATATACGTCTGATTTCTTCCTATTGTGATTGTTTGTGCTTCGGGCTGATTACGGAATATATTTTCCCCTATTTCGTCTTGGACTTCTCACTCTACTTAGCAGGGCCTGGGACAACGGATTAGAATAGCCTATCGTGTCACTTTATCATTGACCTTCATTCCGTTTACGGAGTAAGGAGAAATCTTAATTAGCATCAAGCATAACAGAATATGATCCTCAATTTTTTAGTTGGTGTCTTTTTAACAAGGTCCGTTCTTTTACCAGATAAGGTTGCTAACTACATGTCTAACACTCCTACTTTATCCGGAATTAGAACTGGTGGTAACTCTAGAAAGGCTTCTTCTTTAATAAATGAGCACCAATTAGATCGATAGTTTGTCAAAAGCAGTTGAAGAATTCCAGTTCACAAATTCATGTTGATGATTATGATCCATATTTGCTTTTATTGTCAAACTAAACCTTAGTGAATAGAACTGAAGTTGATTGAATGGGAATTTAACTTAACATTTTAAACTTTGATCATATAAAGAAATGTTTTTAACTAGAGTTTGATCAATATTTAATACTTTAATGTTATAACTTTTACCCCTTTGTCAATTATCACGTGATCAGATCACCAATCAGAATATCGAATTAAACAACTTTGGTACTGTGCTAAACAATGACATATCAACCTTCACTAGCAGCCTTCAGCCAACTCTGATTCCTTATTGATCTTTTTCGTCTAACCTAGACCCTTGAGTCTAGAACGCAATCTCAGCCTCTACAGTATAAATCGTATGCTTCGCACATAGATGGTTTCTGTACAAGTAATACAGACCGCGGAACAACATAAAATCAAAAATGTGATAATTATCCAAGATCAAGCCGAAAGTGGCTATGAGTGCGGGAAACTGCAATTAATGAAGTTGGGAATAAGTTAAGAACGATAAATCGTATAATAGTAGCCAATAGGTCAAATGAAAGCTTATGACATAAGAAATGAGAATATATTCATAAACTAGTTACTGAATAATTATCCAATAAGAATATATGTGATAATAGTTCATCACTAATTCCTAGCAGTTACCCTTAATTTATTCTTTGTTCGGATATAACATTTACAATGTTTATCCATTCAATATCAGTTGGTGATAGAAAAAATATGTCTCCACCAAATTAATGAAGGTAGGTTGTATTTGTCATAGATTGATCATAGTTGAAGTAGTGTTAAATACCAAGAATCATTGAACATTTGTTTAGTTCTAATATGGCATTCCAAGCAGTGAGCACCCATGATACTACATCAGCACGGACACCTTTCTTATACAAACAAACTAACATGTAACCTAGGTTCAGGTTTTCCAGTCAACTCCCCACAATCTCCTAATATCACTATAATGGTTCACTTGATATTCAGTCATTTAGACTAATGACTACACACTAATTGTATCAATAAAATAGGCCTATCTGTTTCACAAATGTCAATATACATAATAAATGTTATATCCTAGCGAAGACATAAGTACGGGTAACTCCAAGGACGTATTATTGGACGATTATTCTATACATATATTGTTATTGTTTAACTATTGAGTAATTAGATTGTGTATATCTATATTCATCTTATTATTAGCTCTATTTTTGACCTATGGATTATTATTATACGAATTACTGTTCCTAAATTATATTCAGTTTATTGATTACTGTTTCCCGTTCACAGCCACATTTGGCTTGATTATGTACAAATATTAGTTTCTATTTTATGGTGTGATGTCTGTCTGTCTGGTATATAAACAGAGTATGCTTGAAATAAACGATTCGCATAGATTCGCATCACAGAAGCTGTCATTGATGTTCTGGACTCAAGTGTAAGGGCTAGGTGAATAAAAGACCATTAAGTACGCTAGATTACCCATACTGATCGAACGTCACTTATTGGCACAATTTTAAGGTCGGAAAAGTCGTATTTCCATTGGTGGATAGTTCCCGTGATAAAAGCCGGACATAAAATCGATAACGAATTGTCATACGTCCCTTTGTCTATTTTGTAAAGTCATAACAAATTGGCGACGGCATTGGTCAAGACATAAAAATAAACCCTATAGTGTTACTGAAAAGTTAATATATACTTTCTATTCATATTTATTGATAGATGTTAATGAATGTGCTTCATATCCATGTTCATTTGGATCAACATGTATTGATCGTGTTGGAACATATGAATGTATTTGTCCAGAACAACGATATGGTCAACATTGTGATGAAGTAATTATTGAAACGGAACCAAAACCACCAGCATGTAATTTTTATGGTCGAATTTATGATCATAATGATAATTGGACTTATAGTTGTCAACGTTGTCATTGTAATAAAGGACAAATTATATGTACTGATGTAAGTATATACTACTACTACAACAATTACTACTACTTATAATAATGATAATGATTTTATTGTGGAAATGAGTGAAAAAATAGGCCGGGGGGTAGTGAATTTATTACATTTGAATGGTGATTTTCACTTCAACATTTGGGAAAAAACAGACGAATGGATAAGAGAGATACGTTTATTCAAATATCTTGTCATTATAACTAGAGGAAACACCAACTCAATCAAACTTGATGGTGAAACTCTGGAAGAGGTGGAAACATTCACGTACCTGAGAATCATCATTGATAAACAAAGAGGATCGGATGCAGATGTAAAGGCGAGGATTGGCAAAGCAAGGACAGGACTTCTACAATTGAAGAACATATGGAACTCAAAACAATTGTCAACTAACTTCAAAGTGAGAATCTTCAACACGAACGTCAAGACAGTCCTACTGTATGGAGCTGAAACGTGGAGAACTACTACGACCATCATCAGGAAGGTACAAGTATTTATAAGCAGTTGTCTACGCAAAATACTCAACATCCATTGGCCGGATACTATCAGCAACAACGTTTTATGGGAGAGGACAAACCAGCTTCAAGCTGAATAGGAAATTAGGAAAAGACGTTGGAAGTGGATCGGGCATACATTAAGAAAATCACCAAACTACATCACAAGGCAATCCATAACTTGGAATCAGGAAGAGAAGCGGAAAACAGGAAGGCCTAAGAACACATTGCTTTGGGAAATAGAAGCAGATATGAAAAGGATGAATGTTGACTGGAAAGAACTGGAAAGCAAGGCTCAGGACAGAGTTGATTGGAGAATGCTGGTGAGCGGCCTATTCTCTTCCATGAGGGGTAACAGGCTTAACTATGTATGACTAAAGGAAATAATTTTATGTAAGCAACAGCAGATCTAAATTTCGTTCTATTTTTTATATTCATCGATCGGTGTGAACCAATCTTGATCATTATCGTATTCAATGATGCTATCATTAATCAATTTAAAGACTGACTGATAACATGAAATATTTACACCAATTAATCACTGAGTAGCAAAGAATGTGATATTCATCTACTCAATATTATTGATAAGATTCTTCCTACGAAAATAAAATCAGTCCGCCTAGGAAATCTCGAGAAAGTCTTCAGCAGTTGAGGAAAGTATGAAAATAATTCATATAACCAGTGTTTTATGGGAGTTTCATAGAGAGTTCTAGAAAAACGATGGATTGTGTCATATCTTGACTTAATAACTACTGAATTTCATACTAGATTTAGCTTGTTCCCAGTAGCCTTCTGTAAGGATGTCTCGTTGGTAAACTATAGGAAGCCTCAAGAATCCCAGAAAGAGCCGAAGATATTCCATCCAATCACTGCTAGGGGAATGTTCTAGAATGTCGACGTGTAGCTTCCCCATTGGATGGATAAGAGTGACCCCCTATGTACCTATTGGTTGTCCGAAATGATGATTTACTCTCAGTCAAAAGCTATTAATACACGAGATTTCTATACTATATTTTGACACTGTTTTGGGGAATAAATTTCCTACATACTAGTCTACTGGCTTCTCTCTTGAGATGTTGCGGATTCGATCGTTCAAGTAGTCTAGTAGTATGCGGCATAGTAAGAATCAAAGCTCTAGATATGACACCTTCAGTATATCAATAGCATTCATAAATCTAAAAATTTCGTTATTTATTTTACAAAAGCCATCCATTTCCCTACCACCCGAATTTTGATTCCTTTCGGAGTTCTGGTATAGAAATTTTTCTTGGGAACTAGAATGAATCTAAAAATTCAGTTTCAGTCAATTAGGCACTGAACTTATCAAATTTCTTTTAGTTTACATATACGCCATATTGACAATTCTCAATTAGCACATAACCCGGGATTAAGTGGAACTTTATCTAAATTAAATTCACTTGATATTGTTTGTTTGAATCTTCTCATTGATGTTTAGGACTGCAATTGATCAGTCTCTTTTTTGGTATATGTGCAACACCAGAGTCTAGGACGCGCATTTCGTCCAATTTGGCACTCGTCAGCTGGATATACCTGCATCACAAAGTTGATGTTCACTCCGAGACTCGAACCCAGTGTCTTTCGCTTGAAAAGCTATCGCATTATCCACTAAGCTACTGAGTCTTGATAGCCACAAAAAATACCAAGTGAATTTAAACTTCACCCAGTTGCACAAGCAAGTGGCTATCAGGACTCAGTAGCTGAGTGAATAACGCGATATCGTTTGAAGCGAATGGCACTGTGTTCGAGTCTTAGAGTGAACATCAACTCTGAGATGCAACTACATCCAGCTGGCGAGTCCCAAATAAGACGAAACGTACTATCCCATCTTTACTTATAATGCCTTCTCTAAATTGTTTCATCATATCCCTACATTTCTGCATTTTTCTTCTTATCTTAAGGATTTTTGTGGTTATTGGTCATGTTTACAAGTAATTGAAAAAAATGATCGTTTTGCTTGTAAATCAAATGAAATTTGTCATATTATATCATCTAGTTTAAATGATGAATGTTTTATACCACCATGTTATTTACGTACAATTTGTTTAAATGCTAATCAATCAATTACGGAACAATTAAAAAAGCTATTACCAAATTATCATTTTAAATTAGCATTACCTAATTGTCGACCAAATAATTTTATATTAAATAATCATTGTGCTAGATTATTATTACATTTTTCAAAATTACGTATGTCTTATTCAATTACTGTAAATGACGTATGTAATGCTGTGAAAAATTTACCATCATTAAAAAAATATCATCAATATGAAAGTGACCGAATAGGTATCGGTATAAGTTGTGATATAAAAGTGGATTACTTTAGAAAACAACAAAATATCATAGAAGTAAGTTGAATTTATTTATATTTCATGTTAAATGGGTATTCTTTGTTTGAGAAGATCATTGATCCTTTTTTATATAATCTAAGCGTAACTACTGTTTTTTATTAAGTAGTTAAAGTAACATTGCAAAAAAACAATGAACGATGGAATATCTTTGGAACACCATAACAACACATGAATAATGACTTTAGATGGAATTAAGCCCAAGACTATCAATTCTTTTAGTGTAAACATGATATTTCACTGGATTTTGAAATTAAATTCAATAATTGGATACATGAAGTGATTATTATTCAATATTATTTCATAATATATGCACCCAAATGCTACATAATTGCAAAATCCTATTAGTGTAGTGAATGAGAACACAAATGAGGACAATCGAATGCATTGAAACATAAAATTACAGAATCACTTAGTAAAATCTGAAAACCATAAATTAAATACTTCATTTAAAAAATGTTAATCAATCGTTTCAGATTTCATTGTTCCTTCATATCCACATCAATCATTCACTGTTCTCATTCTCTTTTCTTCCATCTTCTTAACCTTCTGTCGCCAGGCATTTCACTTTCGATCAATGACATATACTACTTATATCTGTGGACATCAGTAGCACATACCAATCTATGAACCTATGTAGATCTAATCAAAAACTGTTTGAGACAATGATGCATTCGAGTCACTGGATCTAAACACTAACCAATTATATTTAGATTACATATCAGTACTGTCGAATTCAAAAGTACATTAAGCTAACTGCATTCAAGCAACCACACAAACAACAACAAATAATGCTTCCAAGCTGGCCATCTCTTTGAAAAGTACATTTAATATCCCTTTTCGATAAAAACCTGATCGTTTCTGCCACCTTGACGTGTTGGTCGGGCTTGCTTATCGTGATGAACCAATCAAGATAAACTGCCTCGAACAATCATTCCCCAAGGTCATGCCATGTCAGACATTTCGGCTGAAGAGCGGTCAGATTAAAAGCAGCAAACGCAAGGTCCGAAGGCGAGGTCGTAATACCGACTGTACAGAGATGTGACGGCAGTAAGCTGTTTCTTTCAGAAAACCTGCATAACAGCGATGCTGCTTTCCCACAAGGAGGGATGGGGTTTGAAAATGTCGACCCTATAAGTGCACACCTCGCCTTATCCCACGGATATCCGTCTCCGGCGAAAAGGCTCCAGCAAGTACGGTGATAACACTAAAACTACCCACAAAAAGGTCGTGTGTGACCGACCTCAAGCAGTTGTCCCTTGGGCACTGCGGTCACGCTTTCAGGTCATTGAGACCACTTCTGCCCCGATTTCATTTTCGGGTACCTCCAGAAGAACCCTTTGAGGGTGTGGGCGATCGGGAAGTGGTAAGTGCCTCATACCTCCAACAGCACTCAAGATCACTGTTTTCATAATCAATCTCCTTCTTCGATTCCCATTATTACTTACATCTCGACTTTCAACACTAAACTTCCTCTTTCGGCTTCCTCCTTAAGTGTCACCATGGTCGATGATTCTAGTGCGCGAAACACTGTCCTAGGTCTACTGAAACCCCTCTCCAAACTACACATTGGGGGCCTTCAACGTACGTGTCCTAAGTCAAATCGGTCAACAAGCCTCCTTGGCTATGACCCTAGAAACTCATACCATTTATGTATGCTTTGTCTCCGAAACACGCATATAGGATCCCAGTGTGGTCACTCACTTGACCTCACCTCGCCAAAATGGACAGCCAGCGAAATACACCCTTCGTGTATCTGGCGACTCGATGGGTAGTTCTCGTGGAGAGGCTTGACAGAAGACTGTCAGTCGTATTGGAATGCTTTTTTAGACTCTGATCACGCTTTAATACGAGCGCGCATTTGTCTGCGACTCACTGGGCTCAGGAAAACTATACAAAGAAGACCCATTAGGATTGAACTGGAGGACGAGAAATCCAAATGTATATTCCATGAACAACTGAGTTCACATCTAGGCAGTTCTGTAAACGAGACTGACCCAGATGCTGCTTGGAAAGACACACGAACAGCTGTGGGAACAGCAGTCACATCTATTTGTTATTTAAACCATAGGGTTCCGAAAAACCAACGGATTTCTTCTAAATCTATTTCACTGATGGATTCGCGTAAATTCATCTCATCAGACTCTGAACACGAAGAAGATTGTAAACAAATCAAATGTAGGTTGACTAAAAGTCTAAGGAACGATCGTGAGCAGTGGTGGGCAAAGAAAGCAAATGAGATGAAAAAGGCAGCGGCTGTAGGGAACACCAGGCAACTATTCAGACTAATAAAAGAAACCGGAATTAAGAAGTCAAGTGTAAGTGAGACAATCTCCGAAAAAGACGGAACCCTTATCTGCTCTCAACCCAAACGTTTAGAACGATGGGCGGAACACTTTAAAGAGCAGTTTAGCTGGCCTTCAGCTACTGCACAACTAACCACTATTCCTAGAAAACCGGAATGGAACATTGGAGTAGGCCCCAGAGGTCTTTAAATATGGTGGTCCAATTTTAGCGATTAGGTTGACTAATATTTTGGCTAAAATCTAGGAGCTGGACGTAACCCCATCCGACTGGTCACAATCACTGATTGTCTCGATATATAAGAAGGGTTCAAAATCATCCTGCGATAACCATAGAGGGATTAGTCTGACTAACATACTAGCCTCAATAATTATCGAGCGTCTAACTAAGAATCGTGAACGGCAAACACGAGAAAATCCGGCTGGCTTCAGACCTGGTCGTGGCTGCATCGACCACATATTCACCATTCGTCAAGTTTTAGAGCACAGACATGCATATCGGCGTCCAACAATGATAGTTTTTCTTGACTTGAAAGCAGCATTTGACTCTGTAGACCGAGAGTTTCTGTGGCAGTGTCTATCATTAAGAGGTGTACCTCAGAAGTGCACAAACCTTGTGAAGGCTCTTTACTCGAACACTATCGGTCGAGTCAGAGTTTGTGACGAACTGTCATCTGATTTTACAACCTCAAGTGGTGTCCGACAAGGTTGTCGACTATCCCCATTTTTGTTTAACTTCATTATAGACCTGTTGCTGGAAATGACACTCTCTTCGACTGAATCTACAGGAATTAATCTCCTACCAGGGGGACCACTAAGCGACTTAGAATACGCAGATGACATAGTCCTGTTTGGTGAAGACGCTGACAAAATGCGGAGTCTTCTGTTGGAACTCAGTAATAATGCCAGGATGTTTGGGATGCGTTTCTCCCCATCCAAATGTAAATTGTTACTCCAGGACTGGCCTGCGTCAACACCTGAACTAAGGATAGGGGGCGAAGTAGTCGAACGCGTCGACAACTTCACTTATCTTGGAAGTCTGATCAGCCCTAATGGGTTGGTGTCTGACGAAATCTCAGCACGGATTCAAAAGGTTCGTTCGGCTTTTGCCAACATACGTCACCTATGGCGAACACGCGATACCCGTCTATCAATTAAGGGACGAGTATACTGCGCATCAGTTTGCTCTGTTCTACTTTACGGCTATGAAACATGGCCATTAAGAGCAGAAGATATTCTTATGTTACTAGTATTTGACCACAGATATCTTCGAAATATTGCTCGCATCTTTTGGGATAACCGGGTAAGTAATAGTGAGGTTAGACGCAGGGTACTAGGTATGATGGTAAATCAGTTGGTGGGATTGTGAATTTTCATCGACCGAGATGGTTGGGCCACGTGTCACGTATGCTTGAACACCGATTACCATGACGCGCAATGCTGACTAGTGTAGGGGATGGTTGGAAAAGAGTTAGGGGTCGCCATACCAAAACGTGGCATCAGTGCTTGAAGTCACTAACTTCTAGTCTGAGCCATGTTGGTAGATGCAGACTACCTGGTTGGGGTCCGCGTGACTATCGTAACCAATGGTTGGAGACTCTGGGTGACATGGCCCAGAATCGATCACAATGGCGTAGGTGTATACACTCTTTGTTCTTTTCTTAAACGATGAGATTAAAATTGCTCTATATCTTTCTTACTTTCTGTAGTATATACTTAAATGCAATCTCACTGTTATATATTATCACCATAGAATTAACTACTTCTATGAGTTCGGTGTTCGTGATGTTGTATCAATGAGGTATGGCAACTTGGACAGATGCATATATGTACCTGGTCCTACGTTGTAGATGACTGACTTTCTGATAAAAGTGTTGCTTGTTCTGAAATTTGTAATATCTGGTTAATATCTGCTTCCCACACATACAGTGACAATGACATGATCTTCGTTTCTGAACTTCGGTTTTGCACTCAGTCTTAATATAGAATCGGCTTAACTGAAGTTTATCGTGGATTTATACTGCATTTTACAATCATAAGCACGAACATGATTCCCCAATGTTGAAAAAGACTAACAGTATATATCGGGATCCCGAACTTTGACCCCAAAATATAAAGAAGTTGCTCGTAGTTGATGAACAATGTAAATGAACACCAACAAATCGTTTTTTTAAGCAGCTTGATAGCGGAAATCAAAGTCAACCCTTCCTTTACTAGTCGAATATACTTCCGTTCTGTCACATTTAAAGACCGTATTATAGGTTTTGCCTTACTATATGAAAAAGGATGGATGATAAGAGCAGTAATATTATAAATGGAAGCATCAGTGGAGAAAAGTTTTTCCAGTTTTGCGTTAAAACAAGTCAATAATAAATCTTGACTTTATTAAAGGAACTTCGATATTGGTCTGAACACTTCCATGTTGTACAAGCTGTTGAGAGCTGATTTGACGGATGTCTTAGTGTTTGGATAGGCAGAAGAAATATACCATAACCTCCGATAATATCCAATAATGATCATACTGTCATTAAATTAGTCAGTGCGGGCATTTGTTTAATGGCATTTGTATTATCTGGATCCAGAAGGTGGCTTTACGTCGAATGGGAGTCCGTTGTGCTTGTTAAGTTTACGACGAGCGTTTATACTTAGAAAACGTTTAGAATCATAGCCAACTTGAATTTGTAAATAGTCATCACATAAATCAAGTTTTGAAAAACGTCCACCATTTGATTTAATGAACAAATCCTCATGTGAGGGTAATGGATATGAATGATTTTGTAAAGCATCGTTCAGTCCAGTAGAGTAGTCAGCACATAGGCCGTTGATCCCATCGGCTTTGAACTACAACAACAGATGTCCATGGTGAGAAAGTAGTTCGTTGTATAACTCCGAGTTTTTCTAACCACTCAAGTTCATTATCAACTTTATCAGTGGAGGTGTATGACACTCTTCATTCAGGACGAAATACTGGTTTCACTCCCAGTAGTAAAGCAACCCAACGTGTTCTGAGATACACTTGAATGTTTCTCAAAAAGATCCGCCGCTCTAAAAACTTCAGCTTTGAATGTTACAGTTTGCACAGATGAGTTAATAACAATGTAGTAGTCATTTAATGTACATACCGTGTTCAAATAGATATTTGCGATAGTGGAGATTTGTAGCTTAAGTGAATGCTTTTGATGGAGTTTTGCCCTCTGAGCTGGATGGTTTGTCAGTTTGTACATTTTTTCATAAATAAGTATGATATCGGATTCTATGTCTAGTTGTAGACAAATATGAACGTCATTCAGTTACAGATTAAAGTGACTTCAATTGTTAGTTAAATTGCATGTAAATGTTAAATATATACATTGCAAATCTACCTTCTGGGACACGCGTTTTGGATTTTCAATCTAACCTTATAAATTAAATTATAATCAATTTATGATCGACTTTACACCATACATTTCATCGGTAATTTATACAATGGAAAGTTTTAGCGAAATGTTATTCACCACAAAACCAGAAACTTGTAAAAGGTTGCTTTGATTGTGCTTGGTGTTGATTCCTGGCAGTAACAGTATTTTGACTGCATTATTTGACAGAATGAATATTAAAGTTTATTAAGGTTTCTCCTCTAGTTTCTATCATCGCAGTATCATATTTTAAATTTACCATGGGTTGACGCTCTGTAGTAGTCATTTATAATGTCATTCCATTATCTTCAAAGCAGAATATTAATCGTGTTCACACTTTGGAATCTGTGGGTAGTTGTAGTCTAGAAACAAATGAAAATGTAAACCGGTGATTTGATAATCTATTTAGTTTAAAGCGTTGAGCTTGTAGATTAATCCTGCCTGCCTATGCCAGATTATCTTCACCAACATCCTTGGTTAACTGGAGGCGTTTGTAACGAATATAGAATAACGTCTGGTGTTCAAAATATCAACGGTTTCATCAAAACTAAACGCCCTTGCGTGATTTGGTAGGCTGTGATTTCTTATATTTGTAGTATTGTTGTAGGACAAATTTTGCGTTAGCAGTCTTACCTTTGAATCGGGCCAGTAGATATGAAGTGTCTATTATTCAAGAGAATGTAAATAAACTATGCAGTCCCGAAGAAATAAATATTCCACGAACCTACTCTAGTTGTTAGTTATCACAGATTTGAGTTCCCTGATGCTTCTGTGTTTTCTAATGGACAGAACTTTCATGTTAAGAGTTCGAGAGATAGCCAGTGGTAGGAGAACTTCTGATCTCAGCTTGGATACACTGGCTGTATAACAGCAAACACGCCGATTATGATGTTCTAGGATGAAAAAATGATATGAAACCTTGATTACCTTTTATTAAGCGACGATTATTATTATTATTATTATTATTATTATTATTTTTATTATTATTAATGGCCAGTCAGTCAGTTACAACGTAGAACTTCATACGTACGTACATCAGTTTGAGTCGTCATACCACATTAACACAGAGATGCAGTTGTCGATTTAAATCCCATAGTGGTCGAAGTAGTAAGAGTATAAGCAGTAATCGGAAAGATTAGGGTTTGAAGATGTTATCCAATGAGTATAATGCAGTGAGATAAATTTGAAAAGAGAAAAAAGATAGAGACATGAAGAATTCAGAAGATTAGAATTTGACAGAACACAAAGAGTAAATGCATCTACACCATCGCTTTATCAAGTGACAAGAAGAAACTGATAATTCCAATGTTTTGGTTTAATAGTTGAACGATTTACGAATTTCAGTTCAGTTCAGTGAACCAAACTATCAATTGAACTGTACTATTCAATCAAATTTTATTTATCACAATCATTGTATATCATATCGATATAAATTAATGAACAATATATTATCTGATAACTTTCATATCTACTCTTTTCTCACTACCTATGGAAAAAGGTAACACTCAGTTCATTGAATGATCAAATCCGAATTGGTTCAGATGGTAGAGAATATTCATTTATTCATGAATTAGCTAGAAATTTATCTAAAGAAGCTTATTTAGCTGCATCAACTAATTTAAAATTGCGTAAAAACAATTTAAAATTATCCAATAATGGAAGTGACAGTAATTATGAGTATGCCAATAATGACAGTAACCATGATGATGATGATGATGAGGAGGAGAAGGAGGAGGAGGTTATACCGTTACCACCAATGTCTATGATTTTAGGCACTGATCAATTGGATAATTATTGGCATAGAGTTTTACTTGGTATAATTGAAATTCAAGTTGATACAGTAGTTGTAAATGAAAATGATTTTGGTAAGTGTAAATATTTGTAAACAAAAAGTAACACTCACTATTTTAAGATATTCATTTTCTATAATATTTCAATTCCTTTGCTCTGCATCCTTGTGATGCGTATCAGTTGCTCGTTTACTTATTATTGCGATAGTTTGCTATGTACTGTATTATGACTATGAAATATGCCATTTGAAGGTGGAGAACACCAACAGGTTGTAACGTTTTGAATGTTGTATAGATGTCTTTGAGTAATCACTTTCGGAGTAGTGAAAACACGAGGTTGAGGTTAGGTTTATGGTAATGGGCAAATTGATTTTGAGTTTATAACGAATAAGAGTCATGCAGTACATAACATAAGTTTACTGAGTTTTACCAATTATTAGGACATAAGAAAAACGTCAACTATTCACTATATGAGATTAACGTGACAACAATTCAGATATTTGAAAGTAGCCTTGTTAGTTTATTTTATATTTTATTTAAACTCATACATATTGGTGCAAATATATATTCGCCACACAATTGTGTGAGGTCTATGATATTGTCCGGGTGCCCAAAATGAAGCAGTTGGTTTTCTTAGGAAGCCACACCCAGAGCCTTTGACCTGAAGGTCTGATAAAGCAGACAGCGGGGCACCGTGAAGAAGTGCATTCCAATGGTAGCCGGTGACCAACGGTTAGTTCATACACTATTTGTTCCCTCAGGATCCTGGAGCCCATGTGCACCATTGGTTTGGAATCAGGGTTTCCTAACTTCCCTAGATGGACTTATAAGTTACAAACTAGGTTTGGCTGAAGAATGACTGTCTGGTAAGAGAAGAGACACTTGTCTGCCAATCGAAGTCAGAACAAGGTGATTGGGGTAACAGCGGTTCTAAATTCTATCATAAATACAAATATATGACTTCACCTAAACAAATATTACCACTCAGTTATTCAACCAATTATTGTTGCCGCAATAATCGATCTAAATTACAATAAATAGATAAATTGATAAGAAATATAAGACAATTACCAAACACACCAAAAATAAGTATTATTCTATCCTTCCTGGATAGATCGAGTGTTTTCGATTCTGGGAATGTGCTTCAATTCACAACCAAAATGTACGATCCCCGTCAAATCCAGCAACAAAATGAAAGAGAGAACGATCAATATCGCTGCCACCAAGATACAATATCAACTAAAACAACATAGACACAGTTCAGGAAGAAATATATAAACTCAGTGACAGCGAAAGAGAAAATGCTAAAACTGTTATGAAATAAAACATTACAATCTCAAATGGCATCAAAAAGGTCAACAATAATGAACAACTAAGGATACTATTAAGAACAAATTGTAAATGAATGCATATAGGGGTTTCACACACGAAACCTTCAAAATGAATCTCATGGGACTCACTGTGTCAACCGATAGCCTTGTTAAAAAATCCTACATAACAAAAAATTTAAGTATTTATTCTTAAATCCACACGACATGTCTGTTTTTAAAAGAATATGATTATCAGTAAGAATGAATCGTACTTGAATATTGTTGAGATTTAAGAAGAGTTTCAATTCCGATATTTTAATATTGTAGTGTATTAAGATGTGCTCACATGTAGTAGATCGATTCGATATCCAGCGATTGCTTCAAAAACTAATAATATTTAAGATCACCATTGACCACACATTCCTCTCTCTCTTTCATAATAGTAAATAAAAGTCAGATGATAGGTTTTGTTGAGTGATGGACGCTCTGTCAGAAATATTACTCCCTTCTCCGTGAACTCTTTGACTGCGATTTCACAACGCATATCACCAGCAACGTTTAGAATTCCCCCGGATGCACTATGCGCTGATTGATGAATTGAATATATATTCTTGGTTTCCCAATTTTCTCCTACGTCCTCCTGCTTATAAGTGTTTTATTGGAGGTTGTAGCTGTAAGCGGGCATCATACCCATTATTGTTGGGAAACATACTTCCTACGATTATGGGAGCCAATTCTGTTAACAGCTACCGTCACTTTGACTGTACGTGACTTGAATCTTCGAGAATAAACTTTAGTTATAATCGAACGCTGATTGGATAAAATGCTTTCTTATGTTTCTTTGAGCTTGTCATGTCTATTGCAAGAAATTTGCAGGATCATCCCAACAGCAGGTATAAAAACATTTGATTATTTCTCGCTTCATTTCAGGTTCACGTTTATTGGTCCCTATAATATGTGCTACAATCTTAATGATTGCATTAATCTGTATCTTTATTATATGTTGCTATTCACAAAGAAAACGTCGTGAACTCCTTATGAAATATGCAACAACAACAATAGCGCCTAATAATGAACCATCATCAAATTTAATTCAAAATTTATCAGACAGTAATAATCATTCAAAGAATTTAACTAATCCAATCAATATAACATCGATCCATCAAAATTACCCTTCATATCATCCACAATTCATATGTGAATCAACATTACAGTCGAAAAGATTTTTATCATCACAATTTCATTATAATATAAATGGAAGGAGAGTATTAGCTCATAATGATAATAATAATATCACCAGTAATATTCCACAAGGAGTATGTACAGTCAATACAAATCGAGTAAATATGAATCAATACAGTGGACCAGTTATGATTTAAGTAGTATATATGAAATTAATAAAAGATATGATATTAATATTCTACAACTATTATTGAAAGAAAAGAAATTGATAGAAGAACATTCATCTAAATTAGATGGAATAGTTTCATAGTATTTCGGTGACGAACTGATGAAAGACATTAAATAGGAAGGAGAAGAATGTATTTGTAAATTCTTAACGACGACTGAATTTGAAGTAATTCCAAGGAACAAGCATTGATAAGATTGCTAGAGCGAAAAGTTGAAGTCACTTCAGATTCATTCGTTGAGATTTTACAAATATATTCTTCTTTTTCATAGTTGAAAGCATGAATTAATTAAAGCTAGACCACAGAGGAAAACCCTGGAAACACTGAACGACCGTTTTGTATCATTGTGGGACTCCTCAGTAGTGTACATCCAATATTTCGCCTCGCGAGATTTGAACCCACAATAGAACGAAACAGTCGTCCAGTGCTTCCAGGTTTTCCTTGGTGGTCTAGCTTCAATTGACTCATGCTTTTAACTATGAAAATAATAAATCTTCACAAAACCCCTTCTGATTCTTCTTCCTATTGAAAAGTAAATTAATTTTTGAACTGTAAATATTTTCATAGAAATTTATTATAATTAAAACGACATTCGAGAATAGGCTTAACAAGAGATTGAAGATTTGTTAAACGGTTCAACTTTGAAAATTTCTTTATGAACTCTTACTTACTTATGCCTGTTACGTCCAATGGAGCATAGATCGCTGACCAGCATTCTCCAACCCATTCTGTCCTGGGCCATTTTTTTCTATTTCTATTCAGCTTTTGTTCATTCTTCTCTTGTCTGCCTCCAGTTCTCGGTATTGATTGATATCGACATTGTAAATATTATTTTAGAACGTAGACCTTTCTTTCTTTTTTCGTTTTGAATTCTCTAACAAATTACCATTGTAGTAAAAATGAAGATAATTAATCAATATCAGTCATCTTTGATTTGAAAGAAAACATTGTTAATTAATCAAATATGACGTGGGACAGACACGGCGTTTTGGTCGGTATTCGATATTATCCTTAAACTTCGTGTACTGTTCACTTTAATGACCGTTACTAGATAACACCCCAAAGGTGCATAAATCAGAAGGTGAATACAAAGTGTTGATTGCGTTTAATGTTGAATCACACACAGATATCTAAAACTGCAGGTACGTTAAGCAATAATGAAAGAGAAGTGCCGAAAAGTAAGCAAGTGAGCGAGAGGATGATAGAGTCCATGAACGAGTGTGGAAATGAATGAAACATCGAATCACTTGAGCGACTAATAGAAAGGCTAGCAGAATGAATATATGCTTAGACAGTAAGCAATGCTCAATTATACATATTCATACAAGTGCAACAATAATAAAGGTACAATAGCACAGATATGTTGTTACTGTACGAGTTACTCTATCCGTTAAATAAGCGAACAAAAGGGCTTAACCAATTTAAATATGAACAAACTCAATCGTACGTGAGCTGCTGTTACGTCATCAATGTACATTGCTTCCACTCGTTACAACCAACACAGTAAAAAGAGATGAAATGAATAAAATACATAATGTACTAGCAAAATGGTGGTCTATGATGGTGGAAAAAGATAACGCAGAGAATATGATTGAATTCTGAACATAAGCAATATGTAGTGTGTATGTCCGGGTCACTGGTCGATTTTGATTCATGTTACCCAGGATTTTCAGTCATCGTGGACTCCAACTGGATAGTTTAAAAACAACCAGTGAGTGATATCATGAACTGATACCATGTCTTGGTTTGGGTACCCTTTGCGACTGCATCATATGGACGTAAAAGAACGAAGTAAATGAACTGAACATATTATTTGGTATCATCTTAGTTGCCCCGTTTAATTTTCAACTATATGTTCTACGGCTTAAATGTATCCGCCTGTATGTTTAAGTTAGAATTATGGTGTTACTATCTCATCACTTTGAGAATGACTGGTCAGACATACTTATACTGTAGTTAGTTAATCGATAATATGCACTTATTTTGTCTAATGAGTACCTATGCCTAGTGAATGCACATCCTACAAAAAGCAGCCGATTGAAAGTATATTTATCTGTTGATTGTTGTGAGCACTTATGAAAGTACCCATGCAGTGATAAAAAATTTTAGACACTGGCCAACTTGGTGAAAACAACAATAATGGAAAACTGAAATCATGAGACAGTGGACTCAAAATGACTTATGAACAAGTTGAAATAGGCACTCAGGATTCTTAAGCGTTAAAAAATTAATAATATTTGAATCCTTTTCTACTGATGAGTTCTACAGGTTGCTTGTTTTGTGTTAAATAAATTATTATTAACTTACTACCTGGTTCTTTATTGTCGGTCGGATATTGTATATATGAATTACGTGATCCGATTTAGTGATCGTATAAGTACCCATGTTTTTTCTGTACGTTTTTGATTCTTATCCACTAACCATTTCCCCTGCTTCTTCAATCTTCTGATTTAACGGCCGTGGATTTTTACAAGTTTAAGTGCCGTAAGTTGTACATCGTATTCTGCCAAAATAAAGTAGAGGACATTGTAGTACCGTGCTTCGCTAATCGTTCACCGCGATAACCGTTATAATACAAATCCTAATGGTGCATAAAATCAGAAAGCAAAGAGAAGCATTATAAGTAAGTTAGCCCAGCATTCCACAGAAATAAGGGTGGCATGTACAACATATGGCAGTTAGCTTTTGCATTTTTAAAGAAAGTTTGCAAAAAATTGCAGTCTCTAAAAGTTCTAATTATTTTCCAAGCTGAAATATGGCTTAGGCACATAAGCTAAGGCAAGTGATTTTCTGTGACGACACTAAGAGAGCTTTTAGCAAAACCTCTCCATCCAAAAAAGCAATGAAGGAACATCAGGAGACTCAGTCTTATGGTATCTGGTGACCAAAAAAGAATCATGCATTTGTTTCTTCAAAATGTTGAAACTCATATAGACCATTAATTTCAAACCAGTTTGTTACAAATCCTGTAGATGAACTCTCCGCAGTCACCAACTCAATTTAAGGGTGAAACCTCTGATTTGATCTTATCTTTGCACAGTAGTAATACATCCCTTGAGGATGCCATACACGAGCAGCTAAATACCAACCATTTGATTGGAAGAGTGGAGACTCTTTCCACCATCAATCGAATCAGAGTTGTAGAGGACAAAGTCTAAGTATTTCGGGGCTGGAGTACTTCAAAATCAA